TTGGGCGGCAGGGGCGGAAGCAGCCAGCGACTCAGGGATGGGTGGCTCTTGAGGCTCTGTCTGCCATTCTGCTTTCTGCTTCTCAAAGTAACTTTGGAGATGAGAGACATTGAATGGATCATTCTGAAAGCAAGGAGAATTTTGCCCCCCCCCCCTTTTTGAGATGTTTTTGTTACAGGGTGCATGCATTCACCTGAAAGACAGAGAAACAGCGAGAAATCACCCCCCAGGGGGAATGGCCACATTGCAATCCCTTCTCCATTCTCCTCTCAGGATCTTGGGCACGCACGCACATGGCCCCGGCATGAGTGTAAGCCACCAGGTCCGGGACTCAAACCGCAGTCAACTACCTGGGAGTCCAGCGACATAGCCATTACACCAACTGCTGGTCCCAACTTTGCCCCTCTTTAAGACTCCATCCTACAGAACCAAGAGTTGGGCTGTGACGGCTCACTCTAGAAAGTTACTGCACCTGCCTCGGCACTGGTCCTTCCCTCTAGATACCAGGACCATTGTCTACTGGGAAGAGTAATCCTCCTGCTCTTTGGCACTGACAGAACCCAGAAGATCAAGAAATCTCAGGACTAATCAGGTTCTCAAAGGACATTCTGTCTATCCTTCATCCATGTTCGTTTGTACTGGGTTGTCGGAAAAGTCATGATGTATTTTTTTACATTTTTCTATGCAAAAAATGTGTCACGATTTTTCTGATGATCAATAATATTCTTTGTAAGTATCTCCAGGCTTCTGTTGACATACCTTTAGGAAACTCACCACTTGCATAGCAAATGCTGTGCCTTTAGGAAAAACTTTCTTCTACTGGGCCAAACTCTGTCTCTCTGCAAGGTTATTGTATTCTTAACTCTAGGTCTTGAGATAATGTCCCAGGCTATCATCTAGAGACCATGAAAGGTCAGCCTTCTGTGTTTTCAAAGGTTTATGGACAATTCTTTTAGACTTTAACTTGGAAAGTCACCTCTTAAGAGTCATACATAGTCTTATTTTGTCAAAATTGCACAAAGAACTTTAAACACCATCTAGTAATTATAGTCTAATCATCCTTCTTCTTGTATAACAGCCCAGTGCAGAGATTTACCTAAGGTCATGCAATGAGTCAGCTATTGACAGGCTTGGGACTAGGCTTTCTGTATAGGTACATGCCTCTGTGTATGTGTTTGTATTTGGTATGTTGCAGGGACAGAGGATAGGCAGCTTACTCCAAGGAGAGCTTCTCTTCCTCTTCACACAAGTCAGGGAGCCTCTGCAGGCCCAGAGTCATGCGCAGGGCATCCACATGTTCCTTCAGAGGCTTATACTCATCATGCAGCCGCCGGGTAGACTCTAGCAGCTTGTTTAGGTCATTTTCAGACTGTTTGATGGTGTTTTCCATCTGGAACATAGAGTGAGGTAGGCACAGAGAAAAGATTCCAAAGTTCTCAGAGAGGATCTATAGGTGAATGGATAACAGCATGTATTCCAGAGTCAGACTAACCCATGTTCATGTCTTAAACCTGTCATTTTACCTCTATGTGACGCTGGAAAATCTCAGTTTCTTCATCTGTGTAATGGTTATAGTAATAGTGCCTACCCCATGCAATCCTGGTGAAGATTCAATGACTAAATTTATATAAAGCACTCAGTACAGAGACTAACAGAATAAAGTCTCAGTAAATGATAGCTATTGTTCAAATATAGCATTTTAAAGTTGGAATTACCTTTAAAGCTCTTTTGATCTACCCTACCACAATTTTACAGGTCAGAGAACTGAGGCTCACAGAGAAAAAGAAACTTTGCCAGGGAAATACTTCTTAGGGTCCTACTTAGACAAATCTTTGTTAAAGACTCAGGGCTTCTCCCTCCTAGACCAGAAGCCTTTTTCCTAGATCAGTAGTTCTCAAAATATGATTGCCAGATCACAGGAGATCTGTATTTCTTGGGAATCTAGGAGTGCAGATTTTCAGGTTCTACCCCAGGCATGCAGAATCAGAAACTCTTGGGTGGAATCCAGAAATCTATGTTTTAATAGGCACTCCAGGTAACTCTGATGCATGTTCAAGCTTTAGATTTACTGGACAAGATTCTCAAACCCTCTCTGACAAGTATCTTGTTCATTTAATTGGCTGTGTATCCTTGGTTACCTGGCAGCAAAATTGTCAGTTCCTCATGAGATCCTGAATCCTGTTATCTCTAACAAAAATCTCAATTGCTTACTGTGCAAACTTTATTAATATTTCTTTTAAAATTCCAGGTTTTACAACATCAGAAAATGAGCATTATCAGAAAAATAAAAACTTAGTTTCTTCAAAAGTGAATTTGTAAAAAAAAAAAAAAAAAAAAAAAAAAAGTCTCTCATTGTCAGAGGCTGTATAAGTTGGAAAGGATCTTACATGCTAGTTAGTACCTCCAACTTCTTTCCTGATGAAGTAATACTCGATACATCAGCCTAGATGGGTGACCATTTAGAACCTTCCTGAACAACTCCCAAAGAGGAAAGCTTATTACCTTACCAGAAGTTCATTTCCCATGTTACAAGAATCTCCAAAGAAGAAACTCTAATGAGGAAGCCCTGCTTCGGTAGCCAGACAAATGATTTGTTTAGAAGCTTTGGAGCATGTTAAGCTACACCCCAGAAGTAGTTGCCTGTTCCACTTTTCTCCAAAACTAGATCTTGACTCAGATTTTCAAACGCCCAGAATGAAAGCATGTGAGAGTTGAGAAAGTCTTTCAAGGTAATTGAGTAACTCTTGTAGTGCAAAGAGGGAAGACAAGGCCTAGAGAGAAAGGACTTGCCCTGTGATGTACATACAGTCAGCTGTGACAGAGACATGCCTAGATATCAGAACTGGATCAGAACTGGATTATTTTTTATTCCACCACAGCCTGATGCCTGATCCCCAAGGTTGGCCACAGCCACATCTCAAGGAGAAGCCATAACACTCACTAAGGCCTCGTCCTTAAGAGGCCCAGAGGTAGTCTCCAGGTAGCCAGCCACGTACCACATTGATGTCAGCATGGATCAGACGGAGTTCCTCCACATGGGCCATCTTCTCCTGTAGCAGGAGATCCATCTCCTGCTTGTATTCCTTCAGGTGCCTCTCCTCTGACTCAAGTGCCTCAAACTCAGCCTTCAAACGGGCCTTGATCTTCTCCATCTGCAAAGTCTTGTTCCTACAATTCCCAAAAAGCAGGAAATAGGCCAGCAGGAGAAGGAAGGAAAATGGGAATGGAGTACAAAGTCAGGCCTTAAGCCAGAGTTTTCTTTCTAAACCATCTTTCCAAGCTTCCCTCTCTTTAGGCAGAGCTAATCTAGGTAATTCCCCAAAAGTTAAACCATTCTTTCTTCTAAGATAAAATCTTAGTAGGTCTCAAATAAGATTAATTTTGTTCCCTGGTAGGACATTTGCAAACGTGGAGCAAGCTATTAGATTGATTCAGGGACTCGCACTACTAACATGTAATGGACATATGCCAGAGATGCTAAATAGGCTCTTAATGCACAGGAAAGTACCACACCACAAAGACCTGCCACCCAAGTTGCTAACAGTGAAGTCTTAAGAAACTCTGGAGAAGCATTTTCCAATAAACTTTCTGCAGTGATGGAAAAGTTTTATATCTGAGTTTTCCAATTCAGCAGCTACTAGGCATATGTGGCTATTAAGCACTGGAAATGGGACTAGTACAATGGAGAAACTGAGTTTTGAATTTTATTAAATTTTAATTGATCAAACTTTATATGGCCACATGTAGCTAATGGCTTTCATACTGGACCACACAGATCTAGAGGGTCACTCATCTGTTCCAGAAGATGAAAGCAATTACTGTGGGTCATTTCATTCTTAGACAAAAATCTGTTTCTGTTTGTTAAATCCCAGTTGTATACTCTCTGGCTCAGTAAACCTACTCCTGGGAATTTATTCTAAGAAAGTACTTCAGGTAGCAGAAAGTTAATACACAGAGACATGCTTTCTGGCCTAAGGGCAAAACTGGAATAATTGGCAGCCATTAAAAGGCTTGCAATATGTAAAATGTTAAAGACATAATACTCCATGAAAAAGTATATACACTAAGGCTGCAATTTCAAAATATATACGTGTGCATGACTAAACAAGAAAGTAACTAGCAGACATGTAGTTTTAAAGAAATTTAAGACCATTTGAGGCCCAGCTATGGTGGTACAGGCTGCTAAAACACTGTGCTCAGCAGGCTGGGATCACGTGGGAGATCCAGGCTCACATGGTGGTCCAACCTAAAGGCTGGGTGCAGTGGTATATAACTATAAATCTAAAGACTCAAGGATGCTGAGGCGTGAGGATTGTGAACTCAAGGCTGGCCTGGGAAATACAGCAAGACCCTGTATAAACTCGAGCCAAGTATGGTGACACATGTCCCTAGTCCCACTGGGAGGTGGAAGCAATAGAATCATGACATAGAGAGACCCCGTTTTATTGTATCTACTAAGCCATTAGCTACTTATTCATTTGTCATCTCTTTTCTTCTTCCTCAGTAGTTAGCCTTCTTTTCTGTTCTAGCCTATCCCATGAGTGCTCTAGCTCCATACCCTGGGCTCTGACCTCTGACATCAGTCCGCTTCTGTCTTCAGTCTTTCCTTTCTGAGCACCACCTGTGGCTCCTATCTCGAGAGGCAGCCTTCAACGGTACAACCCCCTCCCCATGGCAAACACAAACTGTGTTAGGTGGGTAATATGGTGGAAGATTTTTTTTCAATGCTATAATAATTTCTTTTTATGTTATTATTAGGTGGTCAGGAAAGTTATGATGTATTATTCTATGCAAAAATGCTTCATGACTTTCTCAACAACCCAATATATTGTTTTCAATCTTAGAAAAGGGTAAAAACATGGATATTATCCCATTTATAGAGAAATAAATTGAAGTTCAAAGTAGTAACTTGCTTGGGACCATGGACTAGTACATTGGGTACTATAACTTGAACTCAGGGTTTTCCAATACTAAAGCCTACATACTACCCAAATTATATACTTGCTTGACTGGGGTTACCAAGTTGAAGGGCACGAACATATTAAGGGTTATTGGTATAGCTAGCTGGCCAACTGTCTTACAGAAGGATGATACTGATCTATGCTGGCCAATTACTTATTTAGATCCCCTCCTATCTAGACTTCTGTTCTCCTCCTCTGCTGGGTTATATGCAGACCAGCCTGAACTTTGCCTACTCTTTACCCTCATTTTACAGAGAAGGAAACTGAGATTCAGAGTGATATAGTATCTCACCCTTAATCACACAGCCAATTAGGTCATTTCTGCAGGCAGATTCATATTGTGAAAGGTACCTTAGAATCAGATCTAGGTATAAATCCTGATTTTGGCCTTGACCAGCTTTCTGCCCTTGGATAAAAATAGTAACAACTTGGGCTGGCCTTACAGTATAGCAGTTAAGGGCTATGCATAGAAAGCTGGATCTCACATGACTGGTCACAGTTCAAATTCTAACCCCAACAACTTGAAAAACACATTGTATGCATGTACACAAATGTCCCAAATCCTAATGAGATGGAGAAATGGAGGAAAAAGTATTGCATCATGACCATGCCCCATTGAGAGCAGCTTTCTCTCCCTCTCTCTACTCTTTTTGTGAGCATGTGTGTGCACAGGCAATTAAAAGTAAATAAATAAAGTTAAACACACTTTTTTTTCCTTTAAAAATTATATTTATATTTATTGAGCACTTACCATGTAATAATTATAAACTATAAATATATATTCATCTATCAAGTACTCATTGAACACCTATCATGTAGAATTCAATGGAAGGAAACAGCAAAGGGACCTACCATAGTCCAAGAAACCTTGTAAAGTTAAGGAAATTGTTAAGAAAGCTTCCCTGAGAACCTTATATCTAAGCTGTGATATGAAGAATGAGTAGCTAGCTGGTGACTGAAGGCTGACACAGAGAATAGTCTAGGAAGTGGGGGAAAAAATAGTCCAGCATGGCTGGAACAACCACTACAAGAAAGAAACAGAGGGGGCTAGATAAATCTAGGGAGTTTGGCAGTGGCCAGGACACAGCTCAGAAACTGGGATGAATTAGGACTTTTATCTTCAGGTTAAGAGGGGATCACAGAACTTTAATTAGGAGAGTGGCATTATATGATCATCTCACAACACTTATTTCAACCTTGGCTTCCTCAGTAAGACAGGAATAATAATAGCATCTATTTCACCAGTCATGTGGTGAGAATTAAATAAGCTAAGACATTCAAAGTTCCCAAGCAGAGTATGTAGCATATGATAAGCAGTCAAAATGATAGCAACCTTAATTTTTCAGCCATCATTATCTCCTTCACCCTAATGTTATGAACTTTGTTACAAAGAGCCTACAGTGGGTAGAATATGTGTATATTTGTGCGTGTACATGCTAGAATCAGTAGCCAGGTATATTATTGATTACTAAGATTAAAATAATAATTATTAGCATAATCCATTTCATAAGGTCAAGTTAAATAATGGCTTTTAATGGGGCTGAGCCCAACCTTCCTAATTTGCAACCAGTTCACTTAAAAGGGCAGCAACTGGAGCCAGCAGGTGGCATGGTGGTTAAGTTGTTGGACTCTCACATGGCCAACCTGAGTTTGATTAGCAGACCTGGCTGCTTGCTCTCTCTCTCTCTCTCTCTCTTTCTCGCAAGCACGTGCGCACGCGCACATGCTTGTGAACAAATAATAATAACAAATACAATTAAATAAAAATATATTTTTATAAAATGGCAGCAAGTACCACTAAATGAAACTAGGAATGAGCAGTCTCACACTGACACTTAATAGAAGTCAGCATAGCATAGCTAGCCCTGTTTGGCTGAGTACATTTTAACTACTCCTCCATCCATGTCTATTTATATTTTCAGAATACAGTGATTGAATGTTTTTAAAAATAAAGAGAATAAATAATAATAATCTGAAAAGATAAAAAGCTATTTGATGATTATGATGTGAATAGTAATGCCTGTATCTTGACTGATATGCATGGTAATCATGCTGGAAAAAGAAATATAATACACTGTAAAGATATATGTGATTAAATGTAATATAAACATTATGATAATAATAAATGAAATTAAAAAAAAACAATTACAAGTTGTCAAGGAGGGTACATTGCAATCGCAGATTAAATAAAAGTAAACCAAAGGTTTTTCACCTGGTAAAGTTACAGTTAAATGCTGCCTGGACATTAGAAATCAAAGGCACAAAGTCTTCCTCAAAGTACCAGTGGTACTTTCTCTCCCTGGGGAGGACATCTATCACCAAAAAGATGGTAGCCTCTTCCATAGGTGTGAGGTACAGGTTAGCAATAATGTGTCCTTCTATCAAAGGTATTTTGGAACCTCTGCCATTTGTCCACTGTAGCAAAAAACAGAAAGTACCAGAGACCTTACCTATAAGGCAGAAGGGCCAAAAATCTTAGCTAGGGGAGGGGAACAGGATTACAAATATGGGTTCCAGAAATAGTATCTTTCTTTTTCTTTTTTTGGAGAGGTTTTTGCTATAGGGCACATGCACTCACCAGACAGAAGACAGAGAGAGACAGAGAGACAGAAAGCAAGAAATCACTCACCAGGGGGGATGTCCATGCCACAATCCCTTCTCCTCTATTCTCCTCTGGGCATGCATGCACATGCACCAGGGTGAGTTTAAGCCTCTGGGTCCAGCACTCGAACCGCAGTTGACTACATGGGAGTCCAGCGATATAGCCATTATGCTAACTGCTGGTCCCACCAGAAATAGTTTCTATTTATATCTCTAAAGTCAGTTTCTCTGGGGAGAGCCTAGCCCATGTTTCAGCAGAGGTACAACAGTGTCATCGAAAGATTTGATGGTGCCATTGTTACCTTTCAGTGGTGTATAAAATAACAGGGCACTGGGAGCAGCCTACCTTGGGTACAAACAGTAATGAGGTGCATTGTGTGTATAAAAATAAAGGATAAAAATCAAACCAATTAAAGTTGGTTTATTCTTTACTGTTGATCTTAAACAATGTCCACTGAAAGACATCTGGACTGATTCTAGTTTTTAGCAATTACAAATAAAGCTGCCATGAATATCCCTATATAAACTTTAGGGTAACCATAAGTTTTATTTTAGGATAAATGAACAAAGAATTTTCAACTTCAAAGTTGTATATGAGGACAAAAA